TACACGACACTTCACGATTCTGGCTCTCGCGTCGAGTCCACTGACAGAGCGAGCGATAATATTATCGGCGTTTCTTTTGCATTCTGTAGAGAAGAGGCATATAATTCACTGCACGTCGATGCCGCGGTCTTGTTATTTTGACGAAATATTTATGGCAGCCTAATCGAGCTGCACTGATAACAGTTGTAGCATGATGATCTTTTGATGCTCCCAGGTCAGACATTTCAGTAATATAGCTTCCAGTGAATTTGGAGGCGTCAGTTGCTCTACTACAGTTGTAGAATTATTTGGCCTTAGATCGTGTTGAGAACAACGCTGGACGATGCTAATTTTAGGAGGAATATAAACAGTACGAGATATCGTGGAATCCCGTCAATTTCGCCGACAACCAGAATGTTTTGGAATTGATCGCCGATGGCACCAACAGCATCCTGTCGATCCTTGACGATGAGAGCCGTTTCCCGATGGTATTGGTCAAGTGTGTAACTGTTATAGTTATTTTTCTTTACGGCTTTTAGAGCACAACTGGGACATTTTTGGTGAAGCTGCACGAAATCCACTGCCACAACAAGAACTACTTTAAGCCAAAGTCTGACTTGAACCGATGTTTCGGGATCAGGCACTACGCCGGAGTATTGTATTACGATATTAAGGGTAGGTGAAGTAGCACATGACCGTTCGAAGAGTAACTTCGCGGCCTCGTGCCCAGTCAGTTTGTATACCGAGTCGTTTCAGGCTTTGTCGAGAAAAATCGCGACGCCATGAACGACGAGATGCTGAGCATAATTGACGGCAGCAAGTTTTTGTTTCTTCAGAACTTGTTCTTATACGATGTGGGTACGAAACACGCTTACTGCGTAGACATCGATTTGATGTTTAGAAACCAGCCGCTCGGCGTGCAAAGGTTAGCGTCAGCGGAGAGTTCAGGAAGTCCCTTAAGGCATTAATGAAAGACCTCGAAAAGCGAGAACCGTTTTTCATACGTTGCATCAAGCCGAATAATTCCAAAGCTGCTCTGGTAGGTCTCAAACGCTATGAACTCTTATATCCGTTGTAGTCGAACGCCAAGTTAAAAGTTGAGTTACTGTAGGAGTAATTAAAGTTTTGATTGCCTAAATGTCAGTACAGAAGAACTGCAGTTTTCAGCATCACAGACAGGCGACGGATAGACGTAATGAGAAATAAGGAGAGATTACACTGCGAACAAAGTGAAAGTAAGTGAGCGTAAGACAGAAGTTTTATTGAATTGACTGAAAACCGTAGAAAATAACACAACGTATGTTTTGAATGGAATATCAAACGTGAATAAAAACTTTTGTCCTAAGTCCTATTTCTACTGCTTCAGTACAATGGGAAGGCGACAACTGGTTCCCAAGACGAGGTACAGCTGAGACTCCACCTTTGACAGGTTCAACTGTGCTGTGAAAGCTTGAGAAATATTCCCGGCCCAGTGGAAGGGGCAACGTTCATCAACCCGCCTGGTGAGCGTAGTGAGTTATCACCAAATTTTCCAAGATGGAATCAAAACTGAAATCACGGCTATCAATCACCGGAAGCTGAATAGCCGCTGGCGAACGCAGCAGCTGCTCTGGCATCGAGGCAGGAGGAACTAAGAACCCGGGTTACGGATTAGAGCTGCTGGAGTTTACTAGCGCTAGCGGCGTACAACTGCAGATCACATCTAAGTGGAGCAAAGTCTCAAGAGCTGGAACATAACTTGTAAAAGTCAAGTGAGGCGTTTCTCAGAAAGTTGGAAGACAGGAGGACTGTTAGAGTTCAACAGTTGACACCTCATGTTCTAGAGTTGTCATATGAAAGTACGGCGCAGTGGTGTTCTTTATCCATATAGAATTAAAGAATAATGTAATATAAGTGAAGAGTACTTCACAGAGGTCGGCGAATCTGGTTCTGATAGTTGCAAAGAGATACAAACTCCAAGTAATCCAAGTATATGAACAACATCTAGCCATCATGATGAAAAAATTGAAGATTTCACAAAGAAATAGAACTGCATGAAAAATGGAAAAAACGGAAAAAGTCATTGCAAGTTCATCATTTTGGTAATTTCAGCGCCAATATCTGATCACATCAGAGAATCGAATACCATGTGGGCCGACTTGGTTAGACAAAAAGAACGGCAGAGGTTATCGACTTTTGATCGAGTTTGCTGAAAGGAACAAATTTATTATTAATAACTTTTTAAAGGAAAATCCCACGCAGCAGATGGAAACGCCCAAACGATGTCAAGAATGAAATCGATTTCACCCTCAGTAATATGAAGAACACATGGAAGACGATAGAACGGGTTTTAGCAAAAACGGTAGTGTGCGATGCCACTGCCGGGATAAAGAAGTTAAAATGACATTGGGCAAAATACAGGAAGAACAGAACTTCGCTGGACCAAAGAGACAGTAGATTAGATTTCAGGCGAAAGTAATGTTATTAGCTTATAGAAAGACCGCGAAGTTGATGGCAAGGTAGGTTGAATAAGTGTGCTGGATCTAGATGAATATGAATAGCGAAAGCAGATATCTGGAGTAGCTTTCATGTAGTTGTCGATTGAAAAAGGCGGATGCCGATATTTTGAAACTGAAAAATATCAGATAATGAATGTCTGCTTAATACAGCTTAACTGCGTTGCATTCTCAGCATAAATATTCGTTGCTTGGCAGTTTTGCAACGTGTGAGTGAACAGTGTTAGGTTAAAGATTGGAAGTTTGAGCTCGTTACATCGCAGTTAAAGACGGCTAAACGACATTGTCTATCGGTTCTTGCTGCGGGACATTTTCAAATGCTGGTGGCTGATGAACAAAGCAGTTTTCAGTCTTTTAAATCGCGATTTATGTACCCATGGTTTCTAGAGGTTTTGGCACCATTTAAGTAGGTCGCGGTTTCATAGCTCCAGCGTGCACTTGATCGGTTCGCATCTACATGCGACGAGTCCACGATGTAAATCCACCTAACCAAATCCGAAGCCTATGTACTCTCAGTAACGGCCCCTCATCCTGCTCTGCTCTTTAGTGGAGTGCGCCTGGTGAAATAGTTTAAGTATCTGGGGTAACTTTCACAGGTGATGCATGCAAGCCGCGAAAAGTTGCACAGGGATTAGCCAGAAGAGTGTAGTAGTACTGGAAAAAAGCCTGTGCTTGTCGTTCAAGGAGCTGATCTGGACAGTAATGCGAACGGGTTGAAATAAGAAGGAAGATGTAAGGAGTTGAGCAATGATGCGAAGTTATCTTGTTTCTAATCTAGTTACTCCTCTACACTCATCTTTGGTCGTGAGTGCTGAGTATTGATTTAAAAATTGCTATCCCTGATATAGGCGGCAAAAATAAGGTTTCTGCCAAGGACCGAAGATTCCTGGTGTGGCAAGGTTGTCAAGTTTTTAACACCGCAATTTGAAATACCCTTGTTTGTGATCCGTTCTTTGTCGAAATCATAAAATAACGATTTAGACAGACTAGTAAGGCAAAACCACGTGGAGGAAGGCCCATGGGAACTGCGGACCAGAAGGCTCTATTAGATAGATCTAGCATTTTTGATACTTGGAATCCAGAACATTGAGCTTGACTATTTAAGAGTTGATTGGGATAATTAGAACGACACGACCCCCTGAATCCGCTGCCTCGCGACCTGGACGGCAAAGGTGAATGTGAATGTTGGTGACTGGTTCCATGATATTAGAACATCTGCGGTACATCATTTATTTGCTTGAACAATACCGTATTCGTCACCGGTGATGTTCGACATGCTAATCTTTATATGCGTTGGAAAAATATAAAATTTGTTTCGGACGTCGGCGGTATTAAGTACTTAGCTCTTCCACATTTTGTTTCGTAACATATAGACGCGCGTCTTTTTCGTAGATATCTAGGAAGCATTTCGGTAGGTCGCTATTCAATGATATTTAAACGCCTGCACAGCATGGACTCATCCTGTGTCATTGCATTAGCCAGAGCCATGCCTTACCCGTCATCGTTGATGATTCAAAACTTATTACTCCTCATTTGCTTTAAAGGCATCGATCTACAATATGCTGTTAAAAGAGTGTTTAGTCTTTATTTGTACCGGACACCCAAAACTGAAACACTGGCCATAAACATGGTTTATTG